CGAATCGAGAATTATCAGGACCTGATTTAGAATCGATTGAGCCTGGTGGATCAAAATCGAAATTTTGAAACACCCTAATATAGTACCTATATTAACGTTGGTATTATAAATAATTACTTCATTTTCGAATAGGAATGTTTCGATCATGGCTGTGGGCTTTCGATCGTAGTTGCCTCTGTTGTGGCAGTCGGGAATACCATATACCATCATAGAGCGCGGTGGATTCATGTAGCTGTGCTTGAAACACTCAATCAACCACATATAGTTTAGATAGGAAACTGACGTCGAACAAAAGCATTTATCCAAATACGGGCGAAGACATCATAAGGTCAATGAAGAAAGTCCAAAGCCCAATACAGAGAAAAAAAATTAAAACGGTATACTAAACTCATGGAAGAAATAGGCCGTAAGGGTTCACTGAGGTAGGCAAATAGTAATTAAAACTGTATAATAAATTGTCTTATTTAGTTTATTGGTAGTTACAGTCAGTAGGGAATGGTTTTACATAATGATCGCTAATGTAAAACCATTCCCTACTGACTGTAAAAAATAAACTTTACGATAGTCATATGTGAATTTTGATGTTGATTTTGGTGATTTTAGCTTTTGTTTGTGTCCGGTAGGGTGGAGCATTGTAGATTCTAATGGGTACTAGATTGGTTTTTATTGGTTAAGACAGAATTTTCCCGAAATGTTATTTAAGTCGATAAGCTTAGATTGGCTGATACAGTGACATTTCGTTCAATTCAGGATAGGTACTGGCATAAAATGCTGAGCTCTATCATCTTATCTTGGAAAACTATATTTTTTAATAGGTTTTGTATTCGACTAGAATAAGTTTTTTTTTATGTTCGTACGTGAAGTTAACGAAAAAGAGAGTTGGTTGGAAATGCTATCTAACATGGAGCTTTAGTGTGATAAATTATTAGCTAGAGAAAGGTCTGAAGAGAGTTGGTAGATAGTTCCACTAGAGAACGGCAGTATGAAAATCGAATAGAAGTTGAAGATGAGCGAAGTGTCATTATTTAATACGACAGTACTAGTCAAACGCAGAGTTGGTAACGGTCAGTTTGATCAGTGACGTTTGACGAAAACCAAAAATAAATTTTCGCGGTACAAAAACCATCATTTCCATACATCTTTCGTCATTGACGAAGAGAGTTAGACAGGAATCCCATTGAACAAATCCTATCACATCTTTTTCCTTCACTTCTCTTTTTTCTATCATGCATGGACAAACAAAAAAAGCAAATACCGTCGAACGTGCATGTGAGCAGACTAATTACCACACTATGAGCGCTTCTTGTTTTCCTTTAGCCTATTCATTCTTCTAAGCGTTGATAGACCAGTGGTGATGACAATAGTGTGATAATCACATCGTTGGTGGTACGAAGCCGTTTTGTACCCATTTTATGTTTTTTTTTTTTTTTAACATAATGTATTGCTTCCAGCGATCATCTTTTGACGTAGAACTACGTCTTTGTCGACTATACTGGGGTGCAAATCAAAAAATATGTGTGGTGAAGGAGTGTTAGGTTTTGAACGCTTGTAACTTTGTCATTTATAGATTAAATTAAAATCCAAATACGCCAATCGATAGGATATTACATTACGAACCTGCTGAAACAATTTGTTTTCCAATTTTTCTGTAATTAAACCTTTGAAAATGTACAAATGATAATTTTATCACTGTTTTCATGAAATAAGCCTTTTTCTCAAACCCAGTCATCATAAACGAATACCACTTGGTTGCACATCATTCTGCTTGAACCTCTGCTCATTACCGCTTCGGACGACGTGGCACTAGGTCCTGCAGCAAGCAGGACTAAGTCAGCGGCTAAAGGTTGATCACGGCGTGTCCAGCACAATGAGGAATGAGACTTGAAAATACGTGCATGTAAAACCCCCTCCCCCCTTAACATAACCCGGAAAAGACATGGACTTTGACGATCATTTTTTTCCGGGAAATAAACTTTAAGCAAACACAATTAGGTATGTATAAACAATTAATGTTTTACATGCAGAGCCAACATTTTCAAAAAAAAGTTTGCTTAACAGGAGACACTCGATGAATTACCAACAACTGACTGTAAAACATATCTGGTACCTCTATATATGCAATTATATTAACATCCAAAGTCCATTATTTTTTACATATTCTGCACAAAAGAAACTTTTTGCTCCGCCCCATTCATAAAAAAAACTACGGGAAATCCTGTCAGATGCGGTTGCACATCGTTCTGCTTGAACCTGAAAAGATATAAAACAGCGCTGCTGTCGTGCTTTTGCTCATTGTCACCTCGGACGGCGTGGCACTTGGTCCTGCAGCAAGCAGGACTAAGTCAGTGGCTAAAGGTGGATCACGGCGTGACCACAATGAGGAATGCGACACAATAAGGAATGAGGAAAAGCACCCCTCACCCCTTCACCCCTTCACAACAACTCTCCCCCTCCCCTACCCCCCTCCCCCCCCCCCCTCAACAATAACCCGAAAAAGACATGGACTTTGACGAGCACTTTTTTCCGGGAAATAAAATTTAAACAAACCACAATTATTAGTAAAAACAGAAGTTTTTCCCTTAATTTCTTCCCGCACCAAAACTTTCAAATTTGAGAAAAAAAAATTGCTTGAAAGACATACCGTGCCGATTCAAATTTCGGACACTTAAACTCGAATTTCGGACACTTTTAAAAGTTGATTATCTCGGTCGAATATGATCCACATGTCTTGTAAATTTTAAATTTTTTTGACTAGTGCCCTCCACGATCATCTAACATTATTACTTTGTTTCTAACTGGATGTAATATTTAATTAAAAATGAAAGTGTCCGAAATTTGAATCGTCCGAAATTTGAATCGGAACGGTATTCGATGATATTATGTTGGTGAATAACACACAACTGACTGTAAAACATATCTGGTACCTCTATATATGATATTATATTAACATCCAAAGTTCATCCTTTTTTCCATATTTTGCACAAAAGAAACGTTCTGCCCCGTCCCCATTCATACAAAAATGGCGGGAAATCCTGTCAGTTGCGGGGCTTAGAAAGTATATTTTGTGCAGAATATGTAAAAAAGGAGGGACGTCGGATGTATTTTTTCTGGAAAATATGTAAAAAAGGAGGGACGTCAGATGTTAACCTAAATGATAGATAAAGATAGTTAAGATAGGTTCTACGTCATACTCCGGTCGTGTCTAGGACACACCCTTTAATTTTTTTTGTCAAGCAATACGGAACGGATGACTAAAACGTGCAATTTTAAACCTCTCCGAGTAGCCGACAGATCTAAGAGAGAGAGAGAGAGAACGTACTGAGATAGTTTTTTTTCTCTCTTCATACTGACTTTCTCTACGTTGATGCAAGACATCTCTGGTCAAACTCACACTCCTTTACCTAACTCATAAAATGTAGATTTAAAGAAATACTTGAAGTCTCCTCATCCATTAATGCATGAGTTAGGTAAAGGAGTGTGCGTTTACGGCTGCTCACTCGCGATCTCAAATTCCGTCCATAACAATTTTGAAACAACACACACACAAACTAGTGTTCAAACTGCCAATATAGACTTCTCTGTCGTTTGTGAAATGCACAAGTATTAGTGCAGAACTTGGGGTAAATTATAAGTGTTAGTGCAAGAAAACCTTTGAATTCACCCAAATTTCTGCACTAATACTTGTGCAATTCATAAACGTCAAAGAAGTCTATAGATTAGTCCGTCTGTGTATAGTCGTAAGATAGAAGCAAAGTTATTCAAATTACTCAAGTCTTGTCAAATAAGCTGTTTTGCAGCTCCAGCATGACACACCGAAAAAATTATGTTTTCTTGTTGCTTGTATTTTTAAGATTCATCCCCCATTACTCAACTTATCTTTGTATTTCAACAAGTGGGTGTAACTGCGAGAAAATTGTTCCCATTGAATGTGATCTTTGTGCTCTGTATGTTACGAGAGCACTCTTCAACAAATGAGTGGTTGTTGTTGCTATCCGTCGCCAGCTTGCCAGTAGATTTTACAGTAAACCATACAACGATACAATGCACATATTTCACGCGGTTACTGTTTTTGAAACGTTCCCCCACATCATGTCCAGGATGATGATGGCACACGAAGGTTCTGTGTCGACATTGACGCTGTTTTACGGATTCCAAACGATGGCAGTGACACATGTGGTGCGATAGAAATATATCTTTCCTTCACCTCACGGCCCGTAATGGAATGTGGGTGGCATCAAGCGTTCACTGCGTTGGGTTGGTTGCTCCTGTTTACTTTAAATTAGACTCACTTACGGCGCGACATTTATGAGATTATTCAAATTCAAATTTGTGCAACGTGTGTACGGCAATGTTGGAACATGGCTAACAAAAGGCATGGTTTCGCACCCACATAGCGAGAATACAGAACCCACGTCTAACGCCTGCCGCCCGGAAAGTATATCTAATAAATGAAATGCGGCAGTTTGGCGGTGGCTTAGTCCGACAGAGCCACTCCCGACCGGAGGAGATTTGGCAAGAATGTTTCGCGTAAAATTAATTGGATTTTATTTCGCAATTAATCTCGTATGCTCACAGTTGTGCAGCACCTCGCAAAAGTTATGAGCGCCTTGTTATGGTGTGCCATGTTGTGATTTATGATTTTGGAAATTAGTCTTTCCGGAGGTGGTGACGAAGCAACGATGATCCCGTTAGGATTCCTACTCTTAGGTGGGTATTTGCCACCAGTTGTTGCTTGTATCAGACAGGTGTGTTGCAAAAGCAGAGGAACTTACATGCTTTGTGCTAATTTAAATTTGGAGCTGGGTAATATTACTGTGAAGCTGCCTAAGCGCTTTCCTTTGAACAAGATTTTAACTTTTGAGTGTTCAATAAATAAAATTGATTATGGAAAAATACCAATAGTTTCTTAACCATTTTCAAACCTGTCGAACTTCCAAGTGTAGAAGTATCTAATTCTTCAATTTGATTTATTAAAAATTGTTTAAATTTGATCTCCTCAGACTGCTGAATCCAAAGGTGGTGCACGCTTGTACGTTGGTGCTCAGCGAATGGGAGCAAATTCCGACAACATCACTCAAGGCTGCCGTTACCATTCTTCATCGCATCGCTGTGGGATGTAAAATGCCGGCATTGTTGTTCCAGGTAAGTACAGATACCAGATTTTTTAATTCTCGGTGAACATGTTGCAAATGGTCCAATTGATCGATTCCACAGTTCAGTAGGATTTTTTTTTCTTGAGAGGAAACCATGTATCTGAAACATTGTATTTGTAGCAACACTTTACGTATAAGAGATTTAGATTTCTAAATCTGCAGAAATCACTGATTTGATCAACTTCGAAGTCTTACTTAAGCATGATAACTTGCTGTAAATTAAGATTGTATCCAAAACAAAAAACCAGGGTATGCATTACGACCCCATTGCACCGGCTAAAAACTTGAAATCATCAGAGAAATTTAAAACACTTGAATTAACAGACAGTTTTGCCTCAAATCAAGGAAGGACCACCTACTAGTTTGTGCAACTTTGCTAATGTGAATGCACATGTGATGCGAGTTTTGCAACAAATCAGGAATTTGTTTTAAAAAGTAAGTTGAATTGAGTATTCGTATCTGTTTCTATTTATCTTTTAGTATTGTGCATTTAGATATAAATTATTTGTAAGGCGTTGATTAATTGACTTCCGACGTGACTAGCGAGCAGCAATGCAAAATAACTGTCATTAGTGTAAACAATAACAACAGCAAAAATGTAAAAGTCATATTTTCAAGGCGACCAGTAAACCGGGAAATCGCCAGGAATTTGAAATCACCGGGAATAGACCGTGAATTTTGATGACAAATCGGGCAACAATATACTTCGTCCTCTCTGCGGAAAATTCAGATTCTGGACATTGGACTTGACCCTTGGACTAGAGTATATTTTCAGAACACAGTCACTTTAAAGAACTATGAAGAGAACATTGAGGAGATTTTTAGAATGAATTCTAGGGATAACAAGAAGGAATTTCAGCAAAATATTCCAAGGGAGAAAAGTTAGTAGAAAGTTTTGAATATCCAAGACAATTGTGTGGGTTCAGAGTAGATTTTTTCAATGTTGATTGTGGAATTTCCATGTTGATTGTGAAGAGGATTGCAGGTCCATTTCTAATGAATATTCTAAATATGTTCTGAGAAGAATTTTTTAAAAGTTTCGATGAGATTTACATATAAATTTCAAGGGTATTGTATTCTGAGTAGTATTTCCACTTTCCAACCACCTTTGACTACCTGTGAATTGGGAAACACCAGATGGAATTCAGATTTAAATTGGTAACTCTTAAGAGTTGATGAGTAGTTTAATGTCCATGGCAAAATCCATACTGCTCATCTGCAAAAATTGAGTTCGTATTATTGTGAAGCAACATTCTATTCAAAATTATCTTTTCAAAAAGTTTACTTATTGATGAAAGCAAACTTATTGGACGCTAGCTAGAAGCTTCAGCTGGATTTTTATCCTGCTTCAAAATTGGAACAACTTTTGCATTTTTCAATTTATCAGGAAAGTATGCAAAATTAGAACATCTGTTAAACAATTCTACAAAGTACTCTCTGGGAGTTTTTATGAGGTTACAGAAAATTCCATCATCACCTGGTGCTTTCATTCAACTTTTTAGTTATAGACCTACTTCGTACAAATCAGTTCCCCAGGAATCATCAAAAATATTTTCCCGTGAGAATTTGAGATTTTTTCAAAAATTTTGTGAGTTTCCAAAAGGGTTTGGAACTTGGGTCTAATTTAGAAACTTTGTTTTCAAAAGTTTTGTTCCTCAGGGCAGAGAATCGGTTTTTCCTTTGGTTTTTGCAAATCCTGCCAAATAACTTTCATGGCAGGATCGTGTGTACTTTGATATTGTTTCCTACGCATATTTTTAAGACGGATTAAGAGCTGAAGATCGTCGTCTATTATAATTGAATCGAATTTAACCTCGCATTTTGGTACTGAGGCAGCTCTTGCTTCAACTATAGAAGTAGTCAGAGATTCAAGATTATAATTAACATCATCTTTGGTTTGCAAAGGAATGTTTGGATCGAAGCTATATTCCAGAAATGTTCGATATTGCTCCCAATCAGCTCTATGGTAAAGGAAAGTAGAGCTGTTGGGATTAGAAATTATTTCTTGGGATATTTCAAAAGTAACTGGAAGGTAATCAGAACCGATAAGCATGGATAACCAATTGGCTACAAAGTTGACATGAATCAGTTTAGTCCAAATCAATTGTTGAGGGATTTTTTGCTGAAACAACGAATGTTGAGCTGTTTGGATATTGAATAGTGCCTGCAGAACATATATCAATTTAATAACCATTAGAATTGCTATGATTCCATGAGCGGTGTTTTGCATTAAACTCACCAATCATGAAGAATTTAGACCTATGACGGGCAATTTTTTTGAAGGTCACCCTTGAGAAAATTCTTTTTCTGACTTACGCCCTAGAATGGCTAATAGGCAGCTATAAAGTTGTCCAAATTTTGCCCCAAAACCTGTTTTCAAATGAAGAAAGAATTTGATGTTTGAAATGTCTATGAACAAGGAGAAGGAACGTTTCAGCTATAACGGCAATATTCACGTTATGAACTCTTCTTCATTAGCTTTAAGAAGTCAAGTATTCCAATTCAAAATATTCAATGATTTAAAATCCATTACTGAATTTGAAAGCCATGACTATATAGCAGAATAGCATCAAACATGGAGTTAGTTTTCAGCATATCATGTCAATTAAGGGGAAGTTCACCGCTACGAAAAAAATAATTACGTTTTGATTTTCCTAAAAATATTGGAAAAAGATATCAAAAATCTAAAAAAACACATATTTTCTAATTTTTCAAAGAAAATTCACGTGCAAAACAAATTTTTATAAGTCATCATGGCATAAAGTCCATTTTTTTCATGATGAGATAAAAAAAATTACGTTTACCCAGAAATCTAAGGAAAAAACTGATTTTCTCGGATTTTTGAAAATTTTTCTCAATATTTTTAGAAAAATAAAAGCGTGCCGGAAAAAATATTCTCGGGGCGGTAAACTTCCCCGTAATGATTTCTTTAAAAATTTCGTTTCACGATTATGTCAAAATCATCAAAATTCCCGTTTAAATTATGTTGGCTAGAATTTTCATTTCGATTTCAACCAGCATACGAAGCTCCATTTACTTGTTAGCAGCAGGTATAGGTGAAGAGTTTGAAGCTGTTTGTACCTACGGGTACGTACGAATTTAAAATTTGTTCCTCGCTGACCGTTTTTAGCAGCAGAGAAAATAGTACCTGTTCGGAAAAATTAAACGTTTCCTATATGTCGCATAGAACGAGATTGTAGGATCGCTTAAATGTTAAAGTGTGATGAAAACCACAAATATATTTTTTGTGAATGTAAGACTAATTTTAAAAGGAAAAGTGTGCTTTCATCACCATTTGACCATTTAAATTTTTTAGGATCTTCCTTCACAGGACAGGCGCGGAAGTGGTTATCTCAATAGGGGGAACTTTCCCTTCTTGACATTAGGCCGGGAAAATTCATTCTCATCATCCGTGAGCATGCCATAGTGACTGCCTGAATGAATGTCATCAGAAGGGGGATCAATAGTTTTCCCTTTTCATTTGTGTTTTTGTTTTTCATCTGTTCGGGACATAAATCCACTGCGACCAGTTATTTGATCTATTGTGGTATACCCCGTGTCCTTAGTTTAGTGGATGTCGTATGACTCCATCACTTTTGAGAAATAAAGAAGTAATCGGTTTTGATACAGTTGTCATTCTTATTGCAAGAATCCGACTCTAATTGTAAGGTCCCGCTCTGTATACCCTTTGGTGTGTTGTAACACCATCCAAAAGCGCGCCCCTTTGTCAGTCAAAAATGGATTCCTTCGCACCAAAATCTTAACCACTTCAAACTAAAGGACAGTGAATAACAGATTAGGAATCACGTAGATGAAAAATAACTACCAGTTCGTGCAAGCGACATTTACCGCCTTGACCCTAAGTAGAATATATCAACCTTAACAATCCATAGATACCACCACTTGTTTTTACTGTATAGTTACTGTTTCTCTGTAATGTGCTGGCTCTGAAATACGAATACAATAAATATAACACAGTACCATCTGCCTGCTGCCATGGCAGTTAGGCCCAAATAATTATCGTCTTTTATTCATCAAATCACAATGTAGGAAAAGGTCCTGACCGTGCGCGATCACTACCTAACTATTTTTATCTTCTTTGTTTCAAGATGCCTCGGTGGACAAAGCGGACTATCAACAAGGCATATAAGTAAAAAGGACTAAAATGTGTTCCTTTGATTACAAAAAAAATCTGTTCCCTTAGTTTGAAGCATTTGGGACTAGGCTTCGGTGGTAGATCTTAAAGCCAGTATCGCACCACGAAAAGGTAATCTACCAGGCGTTATTGGGCAAGGAAGGATCGAAAAGAAATTTCCCAAGTCGATGTCCAAGCAGGATTACTTTGGGTAGGGTCCAAACAAGGATCTAAGAGGAATAAGAGTAAAAAAGGTAGAACATTTGCTGGTAATACTTAGCCTTGAGAAGTGCTCTTTAAATTTGTATCTTTAGGTAGCAATAACACTTCCGTCAGCAAAAAGCAATTAGATCCGCACGGCAAGAGAGCACGCTGTGCACTGTGGGGTTCTTCGTTGGTAGCGGTTCTGAAAGGTAACGGAACTGTGATAGACTTTATTCATCCTTTGCATATTGTTGCAGAAGTGCATGAAGCAGCGGACATAAATTCAGTAAATTGGACCTTTCGAAGTGTTGGAGGCAATTTAAACTTGATGAAGATTCCTCAGATTCCATCTGAATGAACTATATCTGCTGCTCGAATTGGATAATTTCCAATCGATGGAAATAAAAGAACACCATAATATTGCTTTATTTTAATTACTTGAATAAAATATTCATTGAACAACATTTTCCGGCGGGGTCATATCATTTCACAGCGTGCAGTGAAAATGACTAAAGATACTTAAATTTTTTTTACATGTGTGGATGGCAACTAGACTGATGCAAATTTTAAAATTCTCCATCTTCAGTACTCGAACAGTTTCAAATTGTGTTTTAATTTTCCTCCCAAAATGGCCACTGACAAACCATTTG